TGGATAACGTTCCAAAATTTTCATATTTAAGATCGTATTTGATAGGTTAAGTCATAAACATTGTAAAAAACTACTTCCTTCTTCCCCAATAAATGATATATATCGGCTTTTGCAAATTTAAAAGCCTGATACAATATCACACGAGTATTATACAATATTCGTTTGCGTATATTATTTTACCGTGAACCACTAAAATCTAATAACATGGTGGATTTCCAGGCAATATTGAATTTGTAAGACTAATAAATCGAGGTTTTAGAAAGATAAACAATTCATGAGTTTCCTAAAAAACAGAAGACATGCTCTAGAAATGGTTGATCAAGCAGTCAAAGAAAAGTTAATTATTCAAACTTTAATATAAGTGACAAAACTGTTAAAACCTGGTCTCAAAATAAAATTCTAAGGCTTCCACTACAAATAAGCCTAGGTCTTTTACATATTGTTCTAATGGTCATAGTTTAAATAAATGTCCTAGCGTCAAAGCTTTGTATTTGACACAGAAAAAGGAACATATGATGAAATATAAATTATATTTCTTGTGTCTAAAGCCAGAATATGGCTCTAAAAATTAAAATTTTTTGTATGAATAAGAAATGTAAAGAAAAGTATTGTATTCTAATACAGGAAGAATGCAAACTTAATACTTCTGAACAAAGTAAACAGATAACACAACCTAGTTCTAATTAACAGTCTTTTATGACAAAAAATTTATTGGAGGATAAAGTATGCTAAATTTTTCTTTATAATATTCTACTGGAATCTCCAACCATATAGTGTTAATTTCCACTTTTTGTTCAACTGATAGATAGATTTACCAAAATAAGGGTTGTCAGGGCTCTTTTATTTACAGAATTAAATACTTGGCTTGTATCTGAGAATGTAAAAAATAACTGGACCTAGTCAAGGCATGATGTTAAGAGTAGCTTCTAACTATAAACTCTTATCAAGCAAGTAGTGTTAGAATAGAGGTTAACTTATTGGTCATACCTTTCCCAGTTAAAGTAAGCAAATTAATATTCTGACACTGCAGGTCCTGTTGATGTCATTTTAGGTGTAGATTAAACTAGGTTCTCATATAAAAATAGCACTTGTTTTTGTTCCTGAGAAGAGCTAGAAACAAGAAGTTTCGTTATTTGATGGGTTTATTTGGCCAAAACATGTCCACGAAAATCTTATCATTCAAGTTTTTTTTTGTGTTAAATTTAATTTAAAGCTTCTTTAGAAGTCTTCTCTTCTCGGTATAAAGTCATTCAATTAACTGCCGTACTGTTGATAGAACCCCTTCAAATTTTGTGGCTGAATCTACTGAGCCATGTGTCAATTGTTAGCAGAAGAAATTTTACAAAGTAGAAAAATTTTTTAAATTATCCTGCCTAATAAGAGAAAGACGTCAGATGTAAGCAATCATTTATGGATCCTTTAAGACGTACGAAAAAAGTAGGGTGGATCCTTTTGTTACCTTTCAAGTTAGATACGCACACTTACTTGCAATTGAATTGTCAACTTGCCACCAAATTGTTTTCTAACTGAGAGAACAGTTTACAAACCAATTCTGCAATATCAGGTGAATACGTTATCTTTCTGAATAACTACCAAATCTTAAATCACATATTCTTATCCTCCTTACTAATTGATGTTGGTAACTTACTTACCATACATACTTTCACCATGTTCTAAAAAATTCAAGCTCCAACGACAAAATTAGTGTTTCTTTTTACAGTTTATAAAAAATTTTTTTAAAAGCTCATTTAATGATCGCTTATAAGAAGGACTTAAGGGCAGTCCAGAAATAGTTAAAAATTCCTACCTAATCGGTTAGGTGACTCAAATTGCACAGCTTTGTAACATTATTTATTAAGCAGCTACCTATTTTATCGAAAAAATAAGAGTAAACCCGCATTTTTGACACATCAAAATACAAATCAAGCCCCCACTTATCGAAATAAATTAAAGCCATGCAATTCGAGTAACCTTATCGATAAAGAAGGAAACTTTAACTATCTCTGGACTGCCTTTAAGGGGCATTTAGCTCATTCTACCTTGGTGGGGTTTCTATACATTAGTATTTATTGTGGATGTAGTCCAAATAGAGCAACAAATTCTATTCGAACGCAAGAATTGTAAGTAATAACGAATCCTCTGACATGGAAATCTCATTCCAGATCAAAATAGTTTTTACGTAAACTTACATCTTGCCATCTGCCCCATTCTTGTCCTTGCAAGTGTTAAAATAACCAACTGTAGATGAACGAGCTTGATTTTTAACAAGGCTTATATTTTGTCTAATCGTTTCCATATAAATCGTTATTATTTAAAAAAAACAAGAATGATACTTAATCTATAATCACTCAAAAATATTCTCTAGACAAAAAGCTTTTTGCTTCGAATATGGGCTTCGAATCAGTGTTATGACAAGAACGTAGTGGCCAGCCAAAACCCCTTGTTCAAACTAAGGCTGCTTAAACACTAGGTTCATGATAGAATGCCTAATCTGACACCTCTTTGTTAAAGGTCACATTGGTTACTAAGAACACTGAGCCATCAACAAAACGGTTTGTTCTATCCTTCTTTGCCCATTTGTTTGACTCTCATGGTGGATTTGGTCCAGTCTTTATTTTATCTAAGTTTATGATTCAAGATACTTGATTACTAAATTAGGACTGGAACCAGCCTTTACCCAAGTCTTTATTAACATCAGGCCACTGCCTAATAGATAACTAATTGTTTTAATTGAACTGAGCCAAACATTGTGCATGATTGTCTACCGCTCGTTGAAAGCTGTTGTTTTAGCTGAGATATTGGTTCTAGGACTACTGGCCTAAACGGTGCATACGTAGCATCCAACGGCGTGTTGAGTGGCATCATACAGGATTAAACCTGAAAATTTGATCCATAGTGGCATTATTGACAATCAGATTCTATTTTTAAATTTTTTATTTAGAAAAGTCGTTGAATTCACAAAGGGCAATAACAACTCTGTTCGAATAAATATCTGTTAGTCAAATTATGCCCTTTTCCTGTTGGAAAAAGCCAGAAATGAGTTATTAATGTTAAATTATAATAATTATTATACATGATATAAAAACGTTTTTTTAATTTGTAGATTGTAATAAAATAATCCTTAGAAGCCTCTGCATTATCAATTGTATATTGGCATTACACAACCTTTGAGCATAGCAAAAGTTATTAGATAACTGTTTGATATGTTATTGGGGATTAAAGAAAAAGGCAGGCTTTTGATTCATTCTTTTATTACTTATCATTAATTTAATCAGTGGGTGCTTGGGTACCCAAATATTAAGTAACAATTCAACTACATTCTATGTCAGACAATATAAAGATGTCAATATATTTTCTATGAAACAAAATTGTGTACGAAGGTGGTGAAATTAATATTGAAATAAGTATACGTTCATAGGGTGTGATTTTAATAAAGCTTCTTACGTTTGATAAATAAAAAAAAAAAAAAAACAATTATGGAGAATGAATTGCATAGATAAAAAGAGTACAACGTGTGGATATGGCACGATGGAATGTCAGGCTGGCCAATACAAGCATATCCGCTATCATCGAGTTTTACAACTATTTTAAAACATCTGCCTCGTCTAATACAAAATTTTTATTATCATATTTGCATCTGTCACATATGTTGACTCAGTTTATCTTACAATTTGTTTCGTAAACGATAACCACAATCATTATTAAAAAAAATGTAGATAATATGGAAGAAGTAGTTTCAATAACAAATGTTTATTTAATTTCATATTTTATAGAAAATGTAACTAATGTATTGTAAATAATATATTTTACAAACGCAATAGTAATGTATTCATGATTAATGACTTCAATTAAAATAATAAACATGGATATGATGGTACTATGTGTCAATGAATATAGCTTCAAAACGTCTTTAAACACGTAAAAAAGGTTCTGAACGAATGAGGAAAAACAAAAATTTAATATAAAAATTTTATGTTATTTATCCGTTGAATCTTGTATAAATAATCCAATATTGGAAAAAAATAGGAACTGTGAAAAAACTTTTTTTTTTAAATTCTGTTTTTTGAAAATGCGTAATGATGAAAAGAATTCAATAAACAGTAATTTATACATGGGACAGTTTTCACTTATATTCAGGTTTGTCAAGCAAAACAAGAATTACTTAGTACAATAAAAAACTAAGTTATAAAAATAACTTATGATTTAGCCAATTTTATTAAGAAACAGTAAACCAACGTTTACGTTAAAACTAATCAACAAACTGCTGGATATTAAGAAGTAAAATTTTTTCATTTTGGGATCGCTCGTGGCAAAGTGGCTGGGGTACTCAGCTCGTGTACAGAAAAATGCACATAAGATTTAAATGGAAAGTACATTTTTCTCTTTTTACAAGAGAATTTAGTTATAAGTAGAAAAATAATATGTAATAAAAATAAGAATTAACTTTTTTAACATATATACACTTTAGCGACAGGATGCAAGGTGGTTTAAATTTTGTGAAATAAGAAAATCATTCATCACTACTTTTTTTTAGTGAATTGCAAAATAATAACATGAATTACCATCTTCCAAGACTTAGGGTACGTTCCATAAGACGGGGTATTTACTGCACTGGATGTCGCAGAACGCATCTACAAATGTCCAACTAAAAAAAAACTCTCACTTTTACTGTAAATGAACCTTTTTACGACGAGTAAACAAATTAAGTAATTTGTTACTCTGATTATCTATGGACTCCAGATTTCTGTAATTGATTATCTGCCTCATCCTTCAAAGAACTTATTTGAGCTTATTTGCTTGAACTATTTCGAGCTTAAGTAAATGTTCCGAAAAACAGTACAGTGAATTAATCTGTGTACGTGATTGATTATGGTTAAGTAACGTTCATTTTAACATCGTAAAACCTAATTATACTTGTCAATAACTTATTTATTCCTGTTGTGATACATATTTTTACGTAGAGTATAGTATCTGAGAAAAAATAATTGAAAAATAATTACCTATCGACAATGTATTAAAAATTGTTCCGACCACTGCAAACAATAAGATTGTCCAAATATGGTCAAAGAACAATCTATTAGGCATGAAGTACCCTGCATCCAATATAATAGGTGGAAGCATGTATAAAAAGAAAGTATCAGGTGTTAAGGGAGATACATGAACATCATCCTTCTTAAATAAAAAAAATCCGACGACGACTCCAACTACTATCAGGAGACAAGATTCTGGAAACATTTTATTTAACTTTGGCGCCATATGAAAACCTGTAAAAAAATAACGCTTTTAGTAAAAAAAAAAAAAAAAAAGGTATTGTAACTTACGCGACTTTGATGAGCTGAAGTAAATATCTCGTTGTGTTTTTTTTTTTTTTTTTT